GTCCAGTGGTTAAGACTCCCTGCTTCCAAAGCAGAGGGCATGGGTCTAAAAACCTGATCAGGGAACTAAGATCCCACATGTGGCGTGGCCGAAAAGAAAAAAGTTCTACAAACAATGGATAGGATTCTAATTTCTCCACATTTTTCACCAATGCTTGCTATTGTCTGTCTTTTTTTATTACAGCTGTCTTAGTGGGTATTTGGTAGACTTCACTGTGGGTTTTGATTTGCATTTCCTTGATGACTAATGATATTGAGTATATTTTCATATGTTATAGGCTGCTTGTATATCTTCTTTGGAGAAATATCTATACAAATTGTGTGTCCATTTAAAAGTTGGATTGTCTTTCTACTGTTGAATTACATAAGACTTTTTAATACATTCTTTATGTATTTCAAAGTCCCTTATCAGATACACGACTTGTAAATATGGTTTCCCATTCTTCAGTTTGTTTTTTCACTTTCTCTATGGTGTCCTTTGAAGCACAAAGTTTTTAGTTTTGATGAAGTTCAACTTACCATTTTCTTCTTTGGCTGTTTGTCTTTGGTGTCACAAGTAAGAAACCATTGCTTAATCCATGGTCACTGAGATTTCTGCCTCAAATGTCTTCTGAGAATTTGATAGTTGTAGCTTCTACTTTTGATCTGCTCTAAGTTAACTTTTGTTTATGTTTAGGGGCCCAACTTCATTCTTTTGTATGTAGATAGCCAGCTGTCCTAGCACCATTTGTTGAAAAAGCTATTCTTTCTCCCATTGAATTGTCTTGGCACCCAGTCAAAGATAATTGATCATATATATATGGCCTTATTAAGGGGTTCTCAGGTGGCACTATTAGTAAAAAAAAAAAAAACCCGCCTGCCAATGAAGATGTAAGAGATGTGCGTTCAGTCCCTGGGTTGGGAAGATCCCCTGGAGGAGGAAATGGCAACCCACTCCAGTAATCTTGCCTAGAGAATTGCATGGACAGAGGAACCTGGCAAGCTACAGCCCATAGGGTCACAAAGAATCAGACATGATTGAAGCGACTTAACATGCACATGCACGCATATGACCTTACTTCTGCATTCTTAGTTCTAGTTCACCAATCTATATGTTTATCTTTATGCCAGTACCACATGGTTTTGATGACTGTAGCTTTGTGGTAAGTTTTGGAATTGGGAAGAATGAGTCCTCCAACTTTGTTCTTTTTGAAGTGGATTTTTCATATTAGGTTTGTAAAGAAATGATGATTTAATGAATGAATAAATGGACGAATGTTTGCATGTTTAAAAGTTTTAATTTGGTGGGAGGGGAAGAGGTTAGGAATTTTTTGTCTTTAAAGTAATCAGCTACGAGATGGGGGTATTTAAGGGTATATATTTAAAAAAAAAAAAAAACAACATGCTGGGATTGGGTCCTATTTGTGAAAGATGGTTTTGGGGGTTAGGTTTCTGTGGCCTGTGCCGCAGGACAGAAATCTGTTTCTGAAATCCATGTAATTGGCACCATGCTGGGAGCAGACCTGGTGCTCAATAAATATTCATCGATTAAATGCCTTGTCCTTTTGGTTTTGTTTTAACCTATTGATTGTCTTGTTGCTAACTTTTGAAGGACAGTTGCTGAAATTTCCTGCTTTTCTAGCCTGTTCAATAACTATGCAATTTTGGTTTATACTTCAGCCAGTCTTCTGCACAGCACCAAAATATGCTCGACAGATGATTTTTCTAGAAGACAATCATTAGGAATTCTTTTCAGATGGCACATCAAGGAACTGAATTTGTACACCGACCCCCCGCCCCCCAACACACACACTTTCCTACCCTAATCTCTTTGCTGTCACTGGCAAGGTCTTGCCTTTTCTTATACTCCAGGGGCAGAAACAATCCCATTTCCAAGGCTGGCAATCATCCCTGCTTTGAGTTTCCTGAAGTACCATCTCTTCCAGCAAGATTTTCCAGACCTAGACAGAGTGGACACTGATTCTTACCGTGACTATGCAGTGTGGTATAGTCTACCATGGGCTTCCCATGTGACTCAATGGGTAAAGAATCCACCTGCAATGCAGGCGATGCAGGCAGATGTGGGTTCAATTGCCAGGTCGGGAAGATCCCAGAGGAGAGGATGGCAACCCACTCTAGTATTCTTGCCTGGAGAATCCCATGGACAGAGAAGCCTGGTGGGCTACAGTCCATAGGGTCACAAAGAGTCGAACACTATTGAAGCAACTTAGTACGCACGCATGCACAGCCAAGTGAGTCTACACTGGTGCTTACATCCACCTAGTAAGTACTTCATTATATTGTCTATCATCTCCACACAAACTAAAAAAACACACACAAAAAAAGATGCTTCACATACATTGACAGTTTGAATCTCCGCATCTCTGTTGATAATTTGCTCCTGTTAAAAAAAAAAAAAAAGGCCCCAAATGGGCCCCACTACAACAAACCAAGACTTAATTGCAGTTTCAGTGTTCTGTTGAAATGTAATCTTAATCATATATGGGGAAAGAATCTGAAAAAAATTCAGTTCATATATAACTGAATCACTTCACTCTACACCTGAAACTAGCACAACATTGTAAATCAGCCATACTACACTATAAAATAAATACATTTTCTAAATAAAGGAAGTAGCTATGAACATTTAAAAAAAAAAACGTAATCATAATCAACTGGTTTGGAATTATCTGATTAGTACCAGTGAGGTCACCTGTCATAGGTCACCTCCATTTCCCAGAGGAAGAAGCAGGAGTCTGTATGATAAAACCCTGACAGGACCCTCCTGACCCTCAAAGCCCTGACCTAAAAATAATTCATTATCCTTTTTTTGGCTAAGAACTTCTTTACTCCACCCTTCTTCCTATTAAAACAACAACAAAAATAACAAGTTTGCACTTTCTGCAACAGGTGGAAGTACCCTTCTAGCTGCTGGATGGGACATTGCTTGATGGAATAAATCTGAATTGCTTAATAAAATCAATCAGATCATCAAATTTACTCAATTGAATTTTGTTTTTTGACATTCCTAATTTGGTACATCGGACCTAGCCTGTCCTCTGAGTACCTAGCCTTATTTTTTCCCCCTGTACTTACTCCAGTCTGTTCAAAACATATTCTTGCTTTAGGATTTACATTTTTTAAAAAAAGCTTCCTTAACTCCCTCCACTCCCCTTTTTAGCTAGCTTTGCTAGGTACACTGGCTACTCAGTAAATATGATTTAGGGGATTATTTTATTGTTAATTGTTTTGTATTCTGTTTCAGAATGCCAGCTACTCAAAGGCTAAAGGTAGAATAACAAATAATCCCCAAATCAGCGATGAAATTTAAGTAATTTCCTTTTCCTAGTTAGCCAGTGGGGTCTGCAAACTTCCAATGGGGTGTCACCAGAAGCTGAAAAGACGGTTAGACTTTTATGTGGTTGTTTTTCCTTCCAGTTGACCTACCTAACAGGTTCAAGTGACCTGGGCAAAGGCAGCTGGGATCCTGTCAGTCACACCCACGACGGCAAATTGAAGCTCTGGCTGGGGGTCAGGAGACCAGGATCATAATTCTGCCTTTTCCACTGTTTTGGGAACTCCTCTTCCATTAATTAACTCATCCAATAAATATTAATTAGTTCCATCTATGTGCCAGGCTCTGTGCTGGGTTTGTAACTATAACAGCCATCAAGACTAAGTAAGTCTTTCCATTCACGGAACCTACGACTCACAAAAGAGTATGTGGAGTGGGAAGGCTTATACTATAACATAAGCTATTTCCTCATCACCGAAACAGTGAGACAGCTTCTTAGGTTCACTGAACATTTAGGGTCTGTCAGTTTAGCATGTGATCAAAGCTGAGAACATAGCAAGAACTGCCCACTGCTATACAGTCAGTATACAAATTGATCATGAGTATTATAGCTTTCCTTTACAAACAAGGACATCTAACACAATAGCGTAGAACTATGTTCAACATTCTATTCAATTTCAACTTTCTCGCAATGCATCACGACCCTCTTTACCGCTGACCTACGGTGAACAGCTGCACCTATTTTCAAAAGGCCCGGTTAGGCATTTGGTATTTCACCCAAGGCTTGTATTTGCATGTCAACACGGGTTAGGTCTGCAGAAAAGTTGGTTTCAGTTTAGCAGGGCGGCAAGGTGCCGGGGAGAAAGGGAGGCGTCACCCTACTACGTTAACAATATAATCTCAGGGATGAGTGAAGAAAATGGCAGTGGTGCAACGACCATGCAGAGGCCATGAAGGTTTTAGGGCAGCTGTCTCCACGCAGAACTCGGAAGCTTCTTTTGAAACGCATTTCAGCATTCTTGTCCGCCCCAAGCTGCCCCGAACCCGCCAAGATCCACTGCTGAAGCGCAGAAAAGCGCGGCGCCTAAAACCAACGCTGAGGTGGGTCCGGGGCCGCGACTACCGCTGCACAGGCCTCCGCGCCTCCGCGCTCTCCCGCCCGCGCGCCCGTCGCCCGCCCTGCGGGCCACGCCCATGACGTCACCGAATGGGGCGGGGCAAGCCGGAGGGGGTGGGGCGAGCCCCGGCTGTTGAATGGGACGCCGCGACGAGCCGCACATTCCAGCGAGGGCACGTGACGCGGTAGCGCTGCCTGAGGTAAACAACCGCGGCCCCGCCTCCTGGCCCGTCCGCGCGCCCTGCAGTGCTGCTAGCCGGCGGGACGCGCTCCAGCAGGGCGGGCGGCTACCTCAGAGAGTCTTCAGCGGCCGCCGCGGGCCGGAGCAGCGGCGGCGGGCGCACGCGTCCCGGGTCTGCGGGCCGCTAGCGCCGGCAGGGGTCGAGCGCGCGTCCCCTCCCCGCCCCCACCGCGCGCTGTGGCGCAGCAGGAATTTGGCGGGGACCCGGGCGCTATTTGCAGCTCCTGACGCGCCGGCGGCTCTTCGGTCATTTCTATTCTCAGGGCACTGGGTCACCAAGCTCGGCCGGCCCCCTCCCCCGGGCCCGGAGGGTGTGTCCCCTCACCGGGGCTCGGCGCGCCTATAAGGGGCCGAGCGGCGGGCAGGGACATGCAGCTCTATAGCAGCGTCTGCACCCACTACCCAGCCGGGGGCCCGGGTCCCACGGCCGCAACCGCCGCTCCGCCCGCCGCCGCCACCGCCGCCTCGTTCAAGGTCTCTCTGCAGCCCCCGGGACCCGCCAGCGGCGCCCCGGAGCCCGAAACCGGTGAGTGCCAGCCGGCCGCGGCCGCCGAGCCCCGCGAAGCCACCGCCGCTCCCGCCGCCAAGATGCCCGCCTTCTCCTCCTGCTTCGAGATGGTGTCCGGGGCCGCCGCCCCCGCCTCAGCCGCCGCCGCCGCCGGGCCGCCCGGCGGGTCCTGCAAGCCGCCGCTGCCGCCGCACTACACGTCCACGGCGCAGATCACCGTGCGGGCCCTGGGCGCCGACCGGCTCCTGCTGCGCGGTCCCGAGCCCGGCGCCGCGGCGCCCGCCGCCCCGCGTGGCCGCTGCCTCCTGCTGGCCCCGGCACCAGGCGCTCCGGTCCCGCCGCGGCGGGGCTCCTCGGCCTGGCTTCTGGAGGAGCTGCTGAGGCCCGACGGCCCGGAGCCTGCCGGTCTGGACGCGACCCGCGAGGGGCCCGACAGAAACTTCCGACTGAGCGAGCACCGCCAGGCCCTGGCCGCCGCCAAGCACCGCGGCTCCGCGCCGCCCCCGGGGAGCCCGGAGCCCGGCCCCGGCCCGTGGGCCGAGGAGCGCCCGGCGGAGAGGAACCTCCGCGGCTGGGACAGAGCCGGGGACCGCGGCGACGGTTCAGGTGCCGAAGAGCTGGGGCGGCCCGACACGGAGGCCGAGGCGGCCCCGGCCCGGAGCGGCGAGGCGGTGATCGTGTCCAGGTCGGATCCTAGGGACGAGAAACTGGCCCTGTACCTGGCGGAGGTGGAGAGGCAGGACAAGTACCTGCGGCAGAGGAACAAGTACCGATTTCACATCATTCCCGACGGCAACTGCCTCTACCGGGCGGTGAGCAAGGCGGTGTACGGGGACCAGAGCCTGCACCGGGAGCTACGGGAACAGACGGTGCACTACATCGCCGACCACCTCGACCACTTTAGCCCCTTGATTGAGGGCGACGTGGGGGAGTTTATCATCGCTGCTGCCCAGGACGGCGCGTGGGCCGGGTACCCTGAACTGCTGGCCATGGGGCAGATGCTGAATGTGAATATTCATCTGACTACTGGAGGGAGGCTGGAGAGCCCCACGGTGTCTACCATGATTCACTATTTGGGCCCGGAGGATTCCCTAAGGCCTAGCATTTGGCTCAGTTGGCTCAGTAACGGACATTATGACGCGGTGTTTGATCACTCGTATCCGAACCCGGAGTATGACACTTGGTGCAGGCAGACTCAAGTGCAGAGAAAACGCGATGAAGAACTCGCCAAGTCCATGGCCATATCCCTGTCCAAAATGTATATTGAGCAAAATGCATGCTCTTGAAGTGTCTGAGACCCTCGCCCTGGGAAAATTGCATACCTAATTTGTGTTTGGAGAGTTATATGAACTTTAATCAGGGTAATTGCACTTTTAAACTTTCTAGTAGATTTACTGTAGGTGTAATGCCTTAATCATTTTTTTGAATGTTTTCTCCTCAAAGCTGAAGGTTGCTGGGCACCTCAATGATGTTTAATGGTAGCTTTGGGTGATCCTACTGCTATTTATGATTTGCTGTATAAAGTTGGCACTACTTAATTTGCAAGCTGATTTCTCAGTGTAAATTTGTTCATTCCTGGTAATCTATTTTCTATAGAAACGTATTTTTGCACAACATTTTTAACTATTGGTGTACCTTCATCTAGGATGTGTTTCATTTTGACAAACAGCTTTCCGGCATAAATCCAGAGAAGTGCTTTATATGAAGTTTATTATTTTGAGCAGAGTTTGTGATTTAGTGTTTTATGTTGTAGGATTTGAATTTTAGGTAATTATTTCAAATGGCTATTGATGCTTTCATGTTACCAGATAATTGACCCATTCCGTTTTGATGACAGATTAGTTGTTTGGAAAATCATTATTTTTCTAGAAATGGTCAACCTTTTAAAGACAAAATACTTAAGGGGAGGTTGTGGGAAGATTTTTTTTCTTAAGAATAGTACCAGCTCTTACTTGAATGAAAGTCTGATATTTGCTGATGGCAGAGTGATTATTCTGTACTCTGGTTGATGTTTAGATTGTCTGGTGCTTTCAGTTGTTTTTATTTATATTTGTCTCTTTGTTGAAAAGAATTTTTTAACATGATAGAAATCTTTATGACAAGATAAGCCTCCTGCTTCATATATAGTTTCTTGGATTCAACTGAGAGATTTGAAAATTAATGGCATAAATGCCTCCAAGCAACCCTGACAATTATTTTATAGCAGGAGAATACTGTCTTAATAGTCTACTCCTTTTAAATTCTTTCATAAGGCAAAATAGGATTGCCCTGTATTATGTACAGTACTAATGTCTGTATACAGAGCTTGTATGGTTTGCTGGGTCAAACAATGTTTTCAACTTGAAATCTATCTCATTTCCACTTTAACTACTTTTAGTGGTATTTATTAAGTAATGCAGTTTGTACTTTTTTATTTTGTAACATTTTGTGATTTTTTTTGTACAATACTGTATTTGTACAATAGAGCAATTCTCAGCTGATGGAATGAGTGAATAAAATGCGTAATTTTACTTTTACGGTGTCTTTTTGCCTGAAGTAACTTTTATTTATTTTTTTATTTGGCTACACCGGGCGGCATTCAGGGTCTTAGTTCCCTGACCATGGATCGAATCCATGTGCCCTGCATTGGGAGCACAGAATCCTAAGCACTGGACCGCCAGGGAATTCCCAGATTTAAATGTTTTAGAGTAACCAAAGAAATGCCCCTTTATGCAGTCTGTCCTCTTGAGATTAAGGGACTTCCTTAATTTTAAGATGTGTTATCAGATTTAGTTGAGAGGTGTGTCTGTACACATAATGCTGACATGTTTATATTGCAGGATCAACCCGACTAGTTTGAATTTCTTACTTTTCAGTTGATGTCATGCCTATAGACAATTGACTGAGTTCATCGTTTAACCATGGAAGGATGGTCAAAGACCAATGGAAGGATGCTATTGGCTATCAAGGGAAGGCAATTTGTCAAAGGTTTAAATGTTACCATACCATGAATCTCTGGTTTTTTGTTAGTTTGCTTCATAGCTTCACTATTTACATAACATGGGAAGAAAGAAATTCCTTGTTTGAATTACACAGCTAAATGTGTTTTTCCCCCTTTTCTCCACTTTATTTAGAGGTGGATAAAGTTTGGGGTGCTTGAAGTTTACACAGGAAGTGAATAGACTTAAGTGTAAGTTCCTAAAAGGCTTTCTGTAAGCTCATTACAGTTTTGAGGAAACCATTTCCTTCCAGTGTTGTTCTGTTTCATTTTCAAATTGGGATCCTAAGTCCTGGATTTAAATTCCCAAGGAGGGTGATACCTTTCATTAAATGGATTCTAAGATTGTATTCCATGGCAGCATGTTATTTTGGTTGTCTTGTCTGAAAGATTTATGTCTTTCTCATCCTTTCTTGGAGAAGGAAATGGCAACTCACTCCAGCGTTCTTGCCTGGAGAATCCCAGGGACGGGGGAGCCTGGTGGGCTGCCGTCCGTGGGGTCGCACAGATTCAGACACGGCTGAAGCAACTTAGCACCAGCAGCAGCATCCTTTTTCTATGGTTTTTTGTGCTGTTGTTTGAAAGAAATTTAATATTTGTCACTCCTTTATGCTTCATGTTTGTTCTTTCCTGCCATCCCACTTTTATATGTTAGCAGTTAACAATCCTGGATCACCAAGGACTTGAGCAGTGGAAGAGATGGAAATGTGGTTGGCTAGTTTTCTTTTAGCCAACATTTATTAAACAGTTCATTCCTTCAGTTACTCAGATAGCAGCTAAGGGGCTCAAAACTGTATATGAAGGAATGATGTGTTCAGTTGATTCTGTGAGCTAAAGTTTCTTTAGAGCTTACTACCCTGTAAAATATGATGGGGTTGTATAGATTCTATAAAGAAATCTAATTGTGTTTTCAGGTAAAGTAGTATGAAAATCATACTGTTACCTTGAAAATTGTATTAAAGTGGTACATAGATAAAAACTATGATACAAATAACAGTGTGATTTTTGTCTTATTGTCTCATTTAAAAATGGCATAGTATGTCAAGATTTTGATGAAAATCTAAAATTAATCATAGTTGATTTTCTTTCTTTAAAAAAAATTATTTATTTTTGGCTGCATTAGGTCTTTGTTGTGGTGCATGGGCTTCTCATTGTGGTGGCTTGTTGGAGAATCACAGGCTCTAGGATGAGGGTGCAGTAATTGTGGTGCATGGGCTTAGTTGCCCTGAGGCCTGTGGGATCTTCTCAGACCAGGGGTTGAACCTGTGTCTCCTATATTACAAGGCAGATTCTTAACCACTGGACCACCAGGGAAGTCCCTTTTATTCATTTTCCACTCACATTTTTTTCTCTGAGATAAAATAGACTCATGTTAGCATATTTAATTGGACTGAGAAGTAAACCGCTATTGATAAGTGGCACAAAGGCATTCGAATGTGATTCTTCAATTACATTTTTCTAAACTTGTAGTCCATATGCTTTATATAGTAACGTATTCAGGAGGCACAGAGCCTTTACCCAGAAACCACATTTTATAGAGAAGAGGAAATGCCTTAGGAGCCTTTGCACATCAGAATTGGTTAGTTTCAGCTTGGGTAAATATAGTCTTAGGTTGCAATCTTTTGTTCATAATTTTTGAACTGAAAAAGGATCTTGAGATAATCTCACTACTTTATGTGTTTTTCCTCTTTCCCGAAGAGATGAGAAAGTTTAAACTTAAAATTTTAGCTTGGTGTTCAGTGTGCTGATATGAAGGAAAAGCATCGAAAATAAAAACAGATTTTAGACCCTTGGACATTGGATAATTTCACATGTAGGAAAATGTAGTGGAATAATTGAAGAGTTGTTTAGTGGCTCAGCTGTGTCCAACTCTTTGCGACTCCATGGATTGCAGCAAGTCAGGCCTCCCTGTCCTTCACCATCTCCTGGAGCTTGCTCAAACTCATGTCCATTGAGTTGGTAATGCCATCCAACCATTTTGTTCTCTGTTGTCCCCTTCTCCTTCTGCCTTCAATCTTTCCTAGCATCCAGGTCTTTTCCAGTGAGTCAGTTCTTTGAATCAGGTGGCCAGAGTGTTGGAACTTCACCTTCAGCATCAGTCCTTCCAATGAATATTCAGGACTGATTTATGGTGGGATTGACTGGTTTGATCTTGCATTCCAAGGGACTCTCAAAGTCTTCTCCAACACCACAGTTCAAAACACTCTCAATTCAAGAGTATATCCTTCAAATGTGTATCATGTTCAAATTTATTTGTCATGTGAAATTATAAGTACAGGCTTTGTTTATTTATTTTGATATCCCTAGAGTGTCTGTAACTGTCTCAAAGAGTCACCAAGAAACTGGATGGCATTTAATTCAGTTTCACTCCCCAAATGTACACAATGCCATAGACATGGGTTCTCTCTCTAGTCCCCTGGCTTCCAAGCTGGTACCTAGCAGAGTCAGTGAATATTTGTTGAATGAAGGAACAAATGGAAGGGAAATAGAGTTTTGGAATTTAGTTGGTGGATGTGAAATTAAATAAAAAATGATTTGACTCTAAAATTACTGGGAATTATCACTGACAATTCTGAACATCTTAAACTGAAGTAGTTTTATAAAAAGGGTATTAGAGTATTGAATTCTATAATGGAAAAAAATAGGTTTTTGAAACCAAAATTTAGAATTTATTGATTTTTCTCTTTGTGTCATCTTCTAAATATCTTGAGACCAAGCTCAGAAAGATTATTTAAAAGGAGAATTTCACTAAAGTGATTTTAAAGGTTCTGCCATGTCCAAGGGGAGTTGCTCTGACTTGCTTTGGGGTAACACCCATCCCAAGTCTAGTCTACAGCAATTCCTAGTTTTGCTGTTTTCTTTCTATGACCCAGTTGGAAGGTGGGAATGGTGGAACAGATTTCAAACATGCTCTCTAGGATTGTTGTGTTCAATAGTCCTAGTTGCATGCTTATGCCATTGGTGTAGAGCCTGGGCGAGTAGCATGCATCAGATCAAAACAGATGTATAGGGGGAAAAACCAGTGTATTTCTTCCTGCTGTAAATTAGGTCAGTGACCATTATTCTGTGAGTCAAGTTCAGAGAGTTCACTGTCATCAGATTACTCATTAAACATCATCTAGCCTGCTTTCTCACAAGTGAAATTTCTAAATAATTGAATAGTCCATTTACGTGTAAAGTATAAAACAGAACAACTGCCTTTTTTTTTTTTTTAACTGTACCTAGTGGCATGCAGGGTCTTAGTTCCCTGACCAGGGGTCAAAACAGAGTCCCCAAATGAAAAAAAAAAAAAAAAACAACAGAGTCCCCTTCAGTGGAAGCACAGTCTTAACCACTGGACTGCCAGAAGTTCCCAGAACAACTGCTTTTCATAAAACTCTTTAAGAGGTAACCTATGGTACACTTCTTAGCCTTTGTAGAATAACAGTACAGTTTAATCTTCCCTTAATGGCTTGGGGGAGGAGGGTCTCCTGATGGCAGGGGTCTCTGGCCTTGAAACCTTGGTGGATTGCTAATGTGTGATAGTCTCTTTCTACTTTAAAGGAGCTCAGAGTGCTGGGACTTTTATTCATGTTTTGTACTTTCCTGTTTCCTCCCTAACTTTCTGATTGTTCCCCTCACTACTCTCTCCAGCCCTAATTCTCCATTATAATTTCCCATGTTGAGTTAGAGACACCATCAAGCATGTTTGTCAGAATTGATTCTAAGATAATACGAAATGGGTTTCTCATTCAGCACCAGGATGCTCTGCTATGAGTAATGTGCTTAAACTTTAGTTTTTAGTCAACCAGAGAGCTTTTTTTGCCTTTGTCTTCCTTTTTACATTCTTTGATGGTATCTTGGAAATGCTGAATTTGTTTGATTAAGGGACTTCTGAATGTGTGCAGTGGCACATTAAATCAAAACAAAACAACATGTATTAGTTATCCAAAGCCTCAAAATTGGAGTTGATATCATTGCCTGGTTAATATTTTGCTCCCACTTTGCTATGTGCAAAGTCTTTCATAGCACGTACCTGCCATTGTCTTCCTTTTGCTTGTGAAATTTTATTGATAGTGTTTATGTTTCCTAATGGTGTTTTCCCTTAATATATCAATGTTTTAACTTTTTAAGTAGATCTTTTTAATTATTGTGATTCTTTTTTCTTCTTCCAGTTTTATTGAATTATAATTGACATACGGCACTGTATAAGTTTAAGGTGTACAACATAATGATTTGATGTACATACATCATGAAATGATTACCACAGCAAGTTTAATAAACATCCATTATTTAATAGATACAGAATTAAAGAAATTTAAAAAAATAGCTTTTTTTCCCCTGAGATGAGAACTCTTAGGATATGTTCTTTTAGCATCTTTCACATGTAACATATAATAATGCTAATTATATTTATCATGCTGTACTGTACATTCCTGGGTCTTCCCAGGTGACTCAATAGAAAAGAATCTGCCTGCTAATGCAGGAGACATGGGTTTGATCCCAGGGTCAGGAAGATCCCCTGGAGGAGGGCATGGCAACCTGCTCCAGTATTCTTGC